CAATTGGTCCCCGCCATCTCATTTGAATTTCGGTCGAGTCAGCAGTCTTCGCTTAGTGCTTTTAATTTAAATGAAAGGAGAGAAATTAGGAAGAATGAAGGGTCTGATGAAAAAGCATCTCATGAACGAAAGAGTTCATATGAGATGCGAAATTCTGTTGAAAAGAAAGAAATTTTTAGTAGCCGTGCATCAAATGAAAATTTCAATGTGTTGCCATCACAATTTGATCGTCGTCTTGAACCAATTCAAAAGCAACCCTTAACTGACATAAACGAATCTCAGGGACTTGGGAATTCCTACGAGATTCGAAATTATAATGAAAAGAAAGATGTAACTGTCAGCCGACCGTCAGATGAAAATAACGGTCCTCTATTTAAGATACCACTACAGAGACAGTCGCCAGCTGATGTAATTGGTCCGATGGAGAGTCATGAAGGGTTTGGTTCGAATGAAGAAGATTCTGACTCTGACAACTCGGCACACAGTCCTCGGACGGTGGATCGTCGGATGTCAACTTCCAGCACAAAATCCGTTGCATCCCGCGAAGAAGGTACAGTTAACTCACGTACTCAATCCAATTCCCCCTCCATATCAGAGATGTCGCAAGAGTTAATGGTGCACATAAATGGTACAAAATTCAGTCAATCTATAAAAAACGAAAAATTCGATTTTCAAAAGAATTGGGATAACAACCGACATGATGGTCAATTAAAAAAATCTTCAGGGCTTGAGCAATCCAGGAAAGAGGTAAATAACGGTTCGTCCGGGAATTCTAAGATTATTTCACATCAGCAAGAGTTAAATACATTCCAAGGAGACCGACACCAAGTGATGGCTAAGGGGAATGATGGTAGCCTTTCAAATCAATTTTCGAACATCGGTTCAATTCGACAAGAAACTGAACCTCGTGTTGAAGACGATCATCCACTACAACAACTATCCGAACTAGCACTCAATCATGAGCCAAATTCAGAACGACTTCAATATCAATCCAAAAATTTTAAAGATTCGTCTCCGCGATCTGTACCTCCCTGGGAAATATCCTCTGAAGGACTTTCAAAAAAATCAAGGAATATATCGATGCCAGATCTACGAGTTTACTCTCGAGATCCCCGAGATTCGATAGAAGAGAGACAGCAACCTCCTGAACCTCATTTCCCTATAACTCACGAGGTTCGACCACAGACTCAAAGGTCAATTGAAACAGTAGAGAATGTGACGTCACCAGAATCTCTGATGGCAATAAAAAGCCGACAGCAGACTCATTTATCTAATGAGGTTGACGTTTCTTTGCAAGAGAATCGATTCTCAAGATGTCAAGACAATCAACTCCAAAATGTTGGGCCTCAGGTCGTCAATGTCACGCAGGAAATGCGTTCATCATCTTTGCAGCAATTTCAAGATTCTAGTCATTCTTTCGCACAGAATAGTCACCCTCCGCCAATACACCGAATTCAAGAACCTCGAGTTCAAATGCAAGAAGCTCAAACTCAGTCGGCTATCCGTAGATTCCAGGAAGTGCACCACCTTCAACATAATCAATTATTACAAAACCAACAATCTAATAGATTGTTGCGAAATAGTGAATCGCACTTACAGAAATACCAGGAGACACCCGTTTCAATAAAGGAAAATCGATCACGTTCTCAGTCGTTTTCATATGACACACGACCTCAC